ATGTAGTTGATGTGGTTTGACCAAGTGAGTTTTTGATCAAAGATTACACCCAAAAATTTAAATTCAGAAACAAATTTTATGTCCTGACCACTAATGTGTAGCTTCAGATTTGAAGGAACTTTACGTCTTGTGAAGAACATAGCAACTGATTTAGAATTTGAAACCTTGAACCCCCACTTTGAACACCAATGATCTATAGAATTTAGAGCTAAATGGATAGATCTATGAACAAACTCAATGTTTCCAAAACAACAAGCACCGTCATCTGCAAATTGTAATGCATCAATGTTTAAAGTAAGTTCAGAAAAGAAATCATTGATCATAATATTACAGAGCAAAGGGCTTATAACACCGTGGAGTGCCATTTACAATAACTCGCATGTCAGACACGTGTTGCCCAATACGAACTTGTATGGTTGGATCAGTTAGGAAGGACTTTATCCACTGGAGCATACGTCCCTTTACCCCCAAACTTTGTAGTTTAAATAAAAGTCCATTCCTCCATAGCATATCATATGCCGTTTCAATGTCAAAAACTACACACAGCATATACTCTTGGTTTCCTAATGCTTTTTGTGCTTCATTTTGTAGTCGAACTAGGTGATCTATGCAAGAACGAGTTTTCCTAAACCCACACTGTAGCCTCGTTAATAATTCATTTGATTCGAAGTAGAAACTCAAACGATTTGTGACTAACCTTTCCATGATTTTACACAGGTTAGACGTTAAGGCTATTGGTCTGTATGAAACAGGGCGAGATGGATCTTTACCAGGTTTGGGAACAGGGATAACAACAGCGTGTCTCCAACTTTTGGGTTACTTCCCAGATATCTAACTTTGATTTATGATATTAAGTATGACTTCTAGAGCTGAATCTGGCATATGTTTAAAGTGTTCGTAACACAATTCATCGGCACCAGGATATGTATTCTTGCCTTTTGAAATTGCCGATTTTAATTCTCCCAGGTGGAAGGATAAATCATATTCAGGAAAAGGTTGTAATAAAGAATCTGAAATTATAGGAATTATCTCATTCTCCAAATTTGTGATTTCGTTTGTAAATTTTGTTGAAAAGTTTTCATAGCTGCTAACAGCCTCAAACTGATCTGCTAAAAGATTGGCTTTCTCTTCACGGGAAATAGCACTTTGATCCAAAACAGGAATAGGGGATCTATTATGGTTCCAACTAATATTTTTTTACCTTGGTCCAAATTGAAGACAAGGAAGTATTCCTGTTTATTGTACTAGCCACATAAAGAACCTGTGAACACAGAAAATTCCTTCAGAATTGGAATACAACAAAGCAAAGACGAAATGATGTAGACACTTTATAAGCTGAAGTATTGGGCCACAACAACGTGTCAAAAGAACAGTGTCATGAACAATATCTGTAACGATGACGTCAGAAGTTCACAATTCAGTAGGGGGTCACACGTCGAAGTCACAGTCAATAACGGGTATGACCATCATGCGCGTGAAGCACAGCAGTGCATCGACGACGCATAGATAAATGAACATTGAAGGCCTGGGGAATGGCTTGGGATGTGGTCACTGGAACCTGTGTCTGAGATGAGTCACCCGAATCCATCCGTCTTGTCTTGGCGTCGTTACTCGGGGACGCCCAGAACGTGGGTGGTCGGCGACGTCATTACTGTTTCCATAACGCCTGACAAATGCAGATATCGTGTTACGATGGCATTGGAAAGTTGCTGCCACCTGTTGTTGGCTCATGTCTGCTCGAACCATTCCAATGGCTTCATGACGTTGAGCAGATGTTAATCTTGGCATGATGTGCATGTGACTTTTCATGTGAATTTGTGAACGTTTGAATGAGCAAAGATCAAGCTTTCGACAGTGACAGCAATTTCTGAGTTTCAGATGTTGTGTGCAGCTGCACAGGCTGCACGTGCAGTAACACATTACAAGTCCATAGGCCACCATCAATGACGTCACGTCGCCTGGCACCTGCATGAGCGTTTGATTGTTTCCAATACTTGCTATGTTCAAACCTTTATTTATGTATGAAGACACTGTCTGAATATCTTTATATTTTCTGTGTGCACAGTTTCTTATGTGGCCAGTAAGAACGCTGCGTTTTAATGATCGTACAAGACGTTGGAATTCAGCCCGTTTTTTCCGAAAGTCTTCTTAATCAACCGGTAAGGATGTCCTGCGAAGTCGGTTATAGGCCTTTTGTTGAGCTTTATCGGCTTTGTCACAATCCTTATTCCACCAATACTGAGAATTTCGAGTAGTTGGCTTTCCGGAAGTTTTACCAATAGCTTGTTCTGAGATTTTAGTCAGAGATAAAGTGAGATTACAAGTTGACTGACTGACTGAGTTTGGTTTAACGCTGCTTTTAGCAATATTCCAGCAACATCACGGCGGGGGACACCAGAAATGGGCTTCACACATTGTGCCCATGTGGGGATTCGAACCCGGGTCTTCGGCGTGACGAGCCAACGCTTTAACCATTAGGCTACCCCACCGTCCCAGATTACAAGTTGAACTTTCAATGTCATCTGTAAGCAGATCGCGAGTTATTTCATGTGAAAAGTCCATGTGCAGGTGTTCGAAGAGGTGTAAACGATATTTCAGTGAAAACTGGAAAGTGATCACCCCCCAGACTGTCGTGTTGACATTGGCATTTGTGTGATAAAATCGGCGAAACAAGGGTAAGATCCAATGCTGAGAAAGTAAAGTTACCAGTATTTATACGGGTCATTTGGTCAGAGTTTAGCAATATTAAACCCAAAGATTTTCTTCAACTTGACCAGCATGATTTGTATGCCTGCTCCCCCACAGTGCATTATGACTATTGAAATCACCACATATCAAAACTGGTGTATCTACAGAATTTGTCAGCATTTTATAATCATCTAGAGATGGCTAACCATTGCTGTACAGTTGCTCGAGTCCTGATTTACTATGGGTCGGAAAAAAGGGATTAACAATGGTTAGGAATTGTTTCTCGTCTGAGACAATTTCCACCGCATTTGCCTCAAAATTAAGTTTCCGCAAGGTATGACTATTATAGGTTAAATCTGATTTGACAAAAATAGCACAACCGCCACGTTTAGGATTTCTGGTCGTAGGGTCATATTCAATGCGATCTTTTCGCATGCTAACATAACCATTACGTTTAAACTGACACTCAGGCCAGAGGAATGTTTCTTGAATGCATATTACATCCGGTTTGAATTCAAGTTTGCCAAGAAAACTAAACTCTATGCATTCCACTGCAGAATAGTTAGCAGCAAGAGGGCGCTATCCATCATGATTTATCAGTGGAAAAAGAACGGAAGATATCTTGAGATATATCAATGTGCAGATGAGACTTTGCAGCGGACATAATACGACAAATTTGGTCATCACGGTTTGGAGCGCCAAAACAGACTGTGATAACATCTAGTAAGAAAGCAACAAGATTTTCAGTGGAATTATCAACTCGGGATGGGCTGCTTTCGCTTGATGGACGAGTAGACTGTTATTGATTGAGTGATCTATCACCATCAATAGAACACTGACATGAACATTGAGTTGAACAAGTATTTGAACCATGAGTGACCTTGACTGAAGGTCGACTTATTGCAACTTGCGGAGGAGATGGAACAACTGGCTGTTTAGGACGGAGTTTGACAGCATTTGCAAAGGACATAGACATAGGATTGTTTACTTTGACCATTTGGACGGCTTCTTTATAAGAAACTTTGTTTTCAACTTTTACACGTTGGATTTCAACCGCTTCCTCGTATTTATTACAACCTCTATATGCTGCGCTGTGATTTCCTCCGCAATTGGAACATTTCAAGATATCTTTAGAAGGGCAGGCATCATAAGCATGATCCCCACTGCAGTGGGCACAAACCTGAACTGTACTTTTACAATTGTTTGATGTATGACCGAAACGCTGGCATTTATAACACCTAAGGGCTGGCGGTACATACGTTCTTACCTTGAAAGACTGATAGTACATGTATACATGCTCTGGGAGTGTGGTACTTGCAAAAGTTAACAGAACTGATAATGTCTGCTGTTTTTCCTTACCTCCGGTTAAACGTTTAGCATCAGTCACTTTGAAGGATTTCAACTGCTCAACTATTTCATCTTCAGAAATATCCAGATCTATATTGTAAATAACACCTTTTGATTCTCGCAAACTTTTGGGGACATAAGCTTTGATTTGTTTCCCACAAATTCGCGTCAGTGAGAGAGCCGTTTTGGACTGCTCAGCGGATCTGCAGTGTAACACAATGTCACCTTTATCCAGCCTCTTCAGGCTATGTGTATCACCAATATGTTTTTGAATGTCCTTACCCAGTACAACGGGAGTGAAGGATTTCAAACTGACACTAGAGTCTACCGACGACAAAAAGAACAATGGGCTTCAGATTTTTTTCTGTAAAATTTGTCTGAACATCGTCATCATGTTTTCGTTTTGGACGTTTAGCCAACATGGCATTATATTTCTCAGCAAATTCGGCATGAGTAGAAGTTTCCTCAAAATCATCAGTAGCGGACCAGTCGGCTGTATATTCCCCGTCAGAATCTGAATGCATAGCCCTATCTGCGAACCAAACGCTATCAGTGTTGTCGACAAGCGTAATCCGCGAAGCAATTTCTGCACGGGCAATACGTGCCAAGCGCACGCACAAAGCCGAGCGTGCTCAGCCAACCGAAACAGAGAACGTGCAAGTAAATTTCACGAACACAAACTTAATAACGAAAGGCAATTACAAAATAGAATTACTAAATTAATCACCAAAGCAAGTTTCACCAACTATGGTTATGGTGTAAAACAAACCAATCCACAACTAACCATTATAAATCTCAGCGAGAACAATCTACACAGGAACACTGTGCGAGATACACACGTCTGTCCTCGTCAGCAGACCAAGCAAACTCCGCGTCAAAGATACATAAGTCACAGAGTTATCCTCCGTTTCATATTAAATAAAGCGCACGTAAAATACACTGATTAAACGGAAGTCGGGTCAAACCGAAAATAGGATTACAGGTATCCGACAGGTGAAAGTTGCTCTTGCTCTCTCTGTGTTCAAACCATCTGTACCAGCTCAGGTAAGGTGTACACTGTACGTACATCTGTACGGAACGATGATTTGTCTAGTGTACAGTGTGTGGTGGTATAGACTAGCCAGAGGTAGTTATTTGTGGATGTTGATAACATGACCACACCCTGATGGTATATCCACCTGTAAAAGGACTCACTCCGTGGGGAGAAACAGTGGCGCGATTGCTGTGTACATCAGGAAGTGTGTATCAACACTGTTCACCCGTATACACACTAAATGGACGGACGGCGTATTCTTCCTGGCCAGCATCCACGCCTACTCATTTATTTGGTTTTGTCTATGTGCAAGAGACCGCCTCCGTGGTGTAGTGGTTAGAGCGTCCGCCCGGAGAGCGAAAGGTCGCGGGTTCGATCCCCGGCCGCGTCATACTAAAAGAAGTTAAAATATGGTACTTGTTGGCCCCTGCCTGGCGCTCGGCATTAATGGGTATAACAAGGACTGGTCGGCTCGGAGTCAGTATAATATGTCTGAGTGGGGTATTCATGCTTAACAGCGGCATGGTATCTCAGTGGGCTAGCACTATAAACCAGCTTCAGTCTGGGCTAGTACAAGCAGCCGCACATACACACGCATGCACGTCGTCATATGAGCGAAATATTCTCAAGTACGACGTTAAACACCATTTCACCTCACCTCACCTCACCTCACCTCACCTCACCTCACCTATGTGCAAGCCTCGGCACAGCAGTCACAGGAATAGCAGTCACAGTCGTACAGGAATAGAAGAAAAAATAATTTCCCTTCAACTTGAATACCCTGATGATATATTTACAATTCTGGGGTGACTTGAACTCACGTATTGGCCAAGAACAATGTTTTATAGAGGACCATAGTGTCGGCTATCTTCCTATTGATGAACAGGATTATGAATCAGATTCTCTCGGTATTCCGAGAAACTCTAGAGACAATTTCTTAAATACCCATGGTAAACAGTTATTAGAGGTGTGTAGATATATGAAAATACACATTTTAAACGGGTGATCGGGGTCAGATAAACAAGGGGACTTCACATTGATAGGGCGATAAGGTAATAGCGTGGTAGGCTATCGTATTGTGCCTACAGATTTATATGACCATTATGATTTTGAAATAAGTACATGAACAGAGTCAGACCACCTCCCCATTACAGTAAACTTGTTATTGTCACGTGACCCGCCAGCAGATCACGCACGTGCAGCACACACTCACACTCAGTCACATGCATTCCACAGGTACGTGTGGAGACCGGAACAGCTCGGTGAGTTTATATGGTGCTATATGTAGATCTACTGATACTTCCACACAGAAGTTTGATGACAGTATGCATAATGACACTAACAAAAGCTATACCTGCTTGCTTGACCTGTTCAGACATTGTTTTTCTCTGACTGATACTCAACACTACAATATACGCAACACTCACACAAGTGGTTTGACAAAGAATGTGGAATTTGAAAATGAAGAAAGTATTCACTTCTTGATATCGAAAAGTAGTTGTGCTATTATATCAGCTGACAACTGCATGGTTTGAACATTTCAGTTCACTACTCAACCCTCATAACAGCCATTATTTGATGGTGATGTACTTTATTGATAACCATGGCGTAACTAGTTGTTATCAGTGTAAAGACTGAGACCACATGCTATGTGGGGAATTACGGAAAAAGAAATTAGAAAATTTGTTAATGATTTGAAAAAGGTAAATCCCCTGGGGCAGATGGTATCTCGACGGGTGCTATCAAGGCTTCATATCATGTTTTGTCACCTTACTATAAACGTCTGTTTAATGAAATTCTTATTACGGGGAAACTGCCAGAAGTTTGGCACATAGGCCTTATTCTCCCGCTGCACAAGACAGGAAATACAGATGATCCCATTGATTATAGAGGAATGGCCCTTCTCGACATTATCAGTAAAGCTTTTACATCAATACATGACACACGTATAAAATTCTGGATATCAACTCAAGAACTACTCTCTTAGTCACAAGCTGGCTTTCTCGATAATCATAAATATCTAGGAAAAAAACATGGCAAATTCTATTGCAGATTTTTAAAAAACCTTCGTCATTGTTGATAGAAATAATTCATTGTATGTTCTTTTAAATAATGGTTTTCATGGCAAAATAACCTCTCTGCCTTGCAATGTGTATTCGAACGTGAGAGCTTCTGTGCGATGCAATAAGCAGACTATAACTGATGTATTTAAATCAACTGCTGGAGTCCGACAGGGCTGCATACTGTCGCCCGTTCTATTTATCTTACATATAGAGGCACTCGTAAACGACATTGTGAAAATTGTCTTCAGTGGTGCTTTCATTGATGAAACTGTAGATGCTTTATCTGTCTTATTCTTTGCTGACGACGTCGCCATATTCGGAGACGGTGTTATTAACTTGCAAAAGAAACTAGATGTTTTTGAAACATTGCAAGAAGCGGGCGCTATCGATTAATACTGAAAAGACGAAGATTGTTGTATTCATGAAAGGTGGTGGGCTTTCAAAAAGTGACAAATGGTTTATCGGCTCTGAAATATTGCAATCGGTTTCCTATCACAAATATCTTGGACTAGTGTTTTCATGCCGGAACCTGTTTTCAAGAGCATGTGAGGTTCTGTGTAAACAAGCCGAGAAGGCGTTATATCCTATCAAAAAATTTATATGTCGATCTAAATCTCTTTCACCTGATACATTCTTCAAGATTTCTGACGGCAAAATTAAACCAATCTTGCTCTACGATTAAGAAATTTGGGGAACAATGTATCATCATAACATTGAAAAGGTTCACTCTAGGTTTTGTAAATTTGTCTTGGGTGTTTGTTAGCGCTCTTCTAGTAAATCTGTTTTAGCGGAATGCGGAAGATATCCATTCCATATCAATTATAAACAAGAGTTATATCATACTGGTCATATGTACCCCTAACGAACATGACTTGTCCATTTCTGCAACACGTGAAGATCGGGGTTAGAAATGATCTTCAGTATCCCATGCTTGTCGTTAGAGGCGACTAACGGGATCGGGTGGTCAGGCTTGCTGACTTGGTTGACACGTCATAGGTTCCCAATTGTGTAGATCGATGCCCATGCTGTTGATCACCGGATTGTCTGGTCTAGACTCGATTATTTACAGATAGCCGCCATATAGCTGCAATATTGCTGAGTGCGGTGTAAAACTAAACTCACTCGCTCCATTTCTGTCTTTTCCATAGTGGGTACATGTGATTAGATATCACGTGACCGGAAACTAGCAACATGTCAATATTACGTTTATGCCTTCTTCAATATTTTACAGTTATTTATATCAGAAGTATTTTAGGCTCAAAACGTTTTGATAGCCCCTTGCAAGTGAGGCCCAAGCACATGGTTAGTAGATTCCTTGATCACGGTTGATTGCCGGCTGATTGCCCATGTCTTCCTGAAGCTTCCTTTGACGCCAAGTGTTGTACAGAACTTTTGTGGCTTCCCATTTGATGGTGTGGTCCTTGTTCTTGAGGATATGTTTCCGATGTGGCGGACTTCTGGTCGACCTTGTTGACGGAGGTACTACATGTATTCTCATTTTCTGGGTTCAGAGCCAGACGATGTCCGTTAAAGGTCACGGTTGGCATCACCACGTAGATTTATATTGTGCTATTTATTCTTTAAGATGGACAGTTGTAAACATTTCCTTGAGTATTAGAATAAATAATGCGGATCTCTGAGTTTTCAGTATAACACATAATTCTAAAAATTATTTTTACACTACTTTGTTTACTTATATATATTTGGTATTTCACCAACCACTCTGTGCTATATATATTCTCGATTTATCTGTTCAGAGCTACACGATGTCCGTTAACAGTCAAGACTCTGGGTATGTGGACAACTGGCAGGCAAGGAAGACTGTTACACAGTGTAATCTGCGCATGCTCGAAACCGAAGACTTCAGTGACGTCACCTTCCGGGTGGGATCACAGCAACAGGTGGCCCGAGCTCACCGCTATGTTCTTGTCAGTCGCAGCTGTGTGTTCCATGCCATGTTCTGCGGCCCCCTGGCGGAAAAAGGGGAGGTAACCATTCCAGATATTGAGGCAGACATCTTCAAGGAATTCTTAAGGTGATTAATCTACCAATTTTACAATTCATTTATTATTAAATTCAGAATGAAGGGTATTTAGATTTATCTAAAAGTGTAACATCAACGTTCCTTCAAAATTCAATATGTGTTATTCATATGTATTCCGTGGCCTCCTACTGATGAAAAGGGAGGTAACCACCCCTGACAGCTTGGATGTCATTTTCAAAGCATTCATGGCAATCCGTCAGAAACTGCAAACTATGTTGTGCAATCATAAATGTCAAGCTACAATATGCAATGGACGTTACTGATGCCGTTTAATCTTGACATATACTCTCACTACAAAGAAACGCATATGTGATATAAGTACATGATATTTCACATATGTTTCAAAATTAGTGTTTGATTGTCATAATTTCGCCATTATAATGCTGGTTTGTGTACATGGAACAAATGCACAACGTCTTCGGAAACTGTAATGCATGTTTACGTTCGAAAGTGCCAACTTGCATGAAAATGTCATGGAGAAAAAGTGGGTTGGAATATGCTAGTGCAGTTCTGAGGAATTGTTAGCAGGGGTATGGCCTACATAAGGCCGTTTTGCGTTTAGACGTTCATTGGCATTTTTAGCTAAATGAAAGTATATCGTTATGCCGCGACCATCGGTCGTTTATTGGACCGATATCAACAAACCAATTCTAAGAAGATCGGCCTCGAAGTGGTAAACCTCAGATTATCACTGCATCGCAGGATAAGTGCATCCGGGTACTTTATTGGTGGTAGTTTCATGGTATGGGGAGCCATATCCTACACGTAGAAATCTAACTTTGTGCGCCTTCGGGGCAATTTAACTGCTATTCAACACAGAGAGGAAGTCTTAAGGATTTACACGGTCCCAATCATTGACCGCGAGAGGGAGCTTAGCAAGATATTGCCAGGCCTTACTCAGCAAATGCCACTATTCCGTATCTTCAGAATGAGAACACAACAGTACGTGCTCCCATGGCCTTCCGAATCGCACGATCCCCGGCCGCGTCATACCAAAAGACGTTAAAATATGGTACTTGTTGGTCCCTGCCTGGCGCTAGGCATTAATGGGTATAACAAGGACTGGTCGGCTCGGAGTCCGTATAATGTCTCTGAGTGGGTTATTCATGCTTCACTTCGGCATGGTATCTCAGCGGGCTAGCACTATAAAACCAGCTTAAGTCTGGGCTAGTACAAGCAGCTGCACATACACATACACACGCATGCACGTCGTCATATGAGCGAAATATTCTCAAGCACGACGTAAAACCCAATTTCACCTCACCTCACCTCCGAATCGCACGACCTCAGAGCAGTTGTGGGGGTTCATGGTGGCCAAACACGATATTGAAGACGGACGCCACCACTTAGTATACTTTTTAAAAGCTATACATTTTAACAGACATTTTGTTATTTATACTGTGAAACTGATCCACAATTACAAGTGTTATCTCACTTGATAAAGTTAGCAGATTAAATTATTCGTGAAAATACACCTTCATCACGCACATGGCCGCCTCCGTGGTGTAGTGGTTAGAGCGTCCGCCCGAAGAGCGGAAGGTCGCGGATTCGATCTCCGGCCGCGTCATACCAAAATACGTTAAAACATGGCATTTGTTGGTCCTGCCTGGCGCTCGGTATAAATGGGTACAACAAGGACTGGTCGGCTCCTTTTCGGTATTATGTGTCTGAGTGGGATATTCATGCTTAACTGCGGCATGGTATCTCAGTGAGCTGGTACTATAAATCCAGCTTAAGTCTGGGCTAGTACAAGCAGCCACACGTACACACGCATGCACGTCGTCATATGAGCGAAATATTCTTAAGTACGACTCGATTTCACCTCACCTCACCTCACCTCACCTCACCTCACCTCATCACCCACATCCTCCCCGATGTGCCATCCAATATTTATGGGAAGTAATGTTAAAAAGAGCGGTGATTCACAAGAACAATTGTGTCTCCAAATGAACCATTATGATTTATTGTAGGTATATGTACACAGACGAGGCCCGAATCAACGTTGAAACAGTCACCGGACTAATGTACACATCCAGGAAATACTCTCTTGATGTATTGTACGATCTCTGTGTAACTTTCCTGGAGGAGTCCCTGTCACAAGACAATGTCTGCCACATACTGGAGCAGTGTCATGGTTACGGGGAGCAGGACTTGGAACAGAAGGCCCTGAAGATCCTGACAGAAGGAGGGGAGAGAGTCACCATGTCTCCAGGATTTGTGGATCTTTGTTCTAATTGTCTCGAAAAGTTCCTGAAATCGGAGACGCTGAACCTGAAAGAGGAAGATATATTTGACGCAGTGCTGTCCTGGACAAAGGAAAGATGCCGGAAGGAAGGTGTGAGTGACACGCCTGAGAACAGACGAAGACTCTTGGGTGACATGAGGTATGAGATCCGGTTTACCAGCCTGTCCCTGGAGTATCTAGTGAAGGTTGTGGGCCCATCTGGATTACTGACAGCGGAGGAGAGAGTTAGAATTATTGACAGATCTATTGACTCTACTGTAGACATTTCCCCATTTGTAGGTTTAAACCGAAAGCAAATACAGGAACCTGATATTTGTAAATACGTCCAAAGATTTGCAACTGTACCAAATGTCAAATTTGTTGTGACAGGAAGTCATGCTCTCTCGTTTTCTGTCGATCACAGGATTAAACTGAAAGGTTGTCAGCTGTATGGTGGATATGATGACATGGAGGTTCCGTTGAGTATTTCACTGTATGACCAAGATGAATCAAAGATAATTGAACTGGACACCGAGCAGCGGCTTCTCGGGTGTGGGCAGATGACTGACATCCTGTTCTCCGAGTCGGTACCGCTGCAGCCATGCACCACATACACTCTCTATACAATTTCGGGGGTAAGAATGTTTACAGGCGTTTTCACCTGGAGGTTACATTGGGTAACGATGGAAAGCACACTGTAACCACTGATGGGGTTCAGTTCACGTTTTCAGACGCCCAGAATTACAATACGGAGACAACAGCTCTGAAAGGAAACATACCTGGCTTCATATTCAGTATCCCAACATAAACATAGAATGTTAGTGGGTGATGGGACTGTGAATACATCAACCCAAATAGGTCACACTGACCACACCATCACTCTAATTTGCATTCTATTATCAACTGAATGTACATCGATGACAGCTGTCGTCACACGCCAAAACAACCTTATACTTGAAAGCGGTAATCAGGAAAACGTAATGATATGGAAAGTACCTGTCCTTGTGCATTTCACCCTATAGATGTACATATCAATTCTGTATGAACGACCATGCTTAAAATCAACAACTGAAATACATGTGTATATGTATGTCTTGTGTATGGTCTAAGGGAAGTAACTCTATGTACATCATGTAACTTCACGTTCTTTTGTCTCATGCATCTATTGAATGAGTCAAACCTGCGTTTGACATGTCCGAACATATCTGTTTGCATGTCCTATTTATAAAATGTAGCTTGATTCACATCACATCTTCTAGCAGCAATTGACTGTTATTTTATGGTACTGTTTTGAATGTGTGAAATAGTACTTCCTCCTGCCTACCTTATGCCTGGTGATCAGGACGAATGTGATCATCAATACAATGTGAAGCCAACAATGGTTGTATAATTAACAATTGTACTAAAAAATTAACACACTTTGGAAATATTTAAAAAACACTACAAAGGAAATAAACTGACAAATTAGAGGGGACGTACAAATTCATTAGCAACACAAATATGCTCATACCAATAACGGTTTTCACCCCCTTCAATTTTTTTTACTGGAGAGGGTGTTGGTGGTTAGGGTGGGAAGAGGGGTGACAAGCATTATTGGCATGAGTATACAATTATACATATGATATGAAAAGGTGAAAGATATTCTTTGCACAACTGCTGGCCTGCTTGTAATTTGAAATGACGGAGACGCGACTTTTTATATAAAATACTCTTCATAAAAAGAAACTTGACATGTTGTTTTGGAGTTTACTTACTGAGTGCTATAACTGATTCAAACATGACATTATTGCTCAGTTACAGTGTAATCATCACTTTACAAATTTCCAAAACATGATTATCCAGAAACTGTTTGGTACAACCACAGAGGGCTATTAAAGCCACTTGGTCAGAGTAAAATGTCTCTTATCTGGTGTGACCACCATCAGCATCAATAACGGCTTGGCAGCGGTGACCCATAGAAGAAAGGAGATGCCGAATGCTGTCTTGAGGAATATTTTGATTCACTTGCTGTGTGCAGTTCTTGTAGTGTCTGAGGTGGCGGATTACGCTGGTGCAATCGTCGATTAGGAGTATCCCATAGATGTTCAATGGAGGACAAATCCGGTGATCGAGAAGGCCAAGGTAACAACTGAACATTGTTTTGCGGGAAGAAGACCTGTCAAACACGTGCAACGTGAGGTCGAGCATTGTCATGCTCCAAAGATCACGTTGAAGTAGGGAACGACGTGACGTTGAAGTGGTCTTCTGGCAAAGAATCTGGCTTTCCATAGCCTATTGCGCACTGTCTGGTCGGAGATTCGGAGCAGTCCAGGGATTTGGATTGTTGTTGATGATGCGGCCGTGGTGCTTAAATGAAAATGTCTTAACCGGATGTAGCGATCCTGGGCGGCGGTGGTAACTCCAGGTCGACCTGACCTGGGTCTATCATTAACACTCCCAGTATTTTTGTATCGGGTCCATAGGTTTGAGATGATCTGTCTGGACACGCTGAAGTACCTTGCCACATCATGCTGTGATGTCCATCCTTGTAAACGGCCGATGGCGTTGTGTCGTTGAGCTGCTGTCAGTCTTTTCATTCTTTTGTCTATAGTGGCTTAAAGCAATGCATGTGGAGTACCATTGATGTGGCTTTTTAAAACCCAGAGACACTGTAAAACCCAGAGACACAGGCTACAGCTCAGGGTGATACACAATTTCATGATGAGCGAACATTTCATGTAGGATGCGTTTTAGCAATTCTCTACAGACGTGAATGTAACGTTACGTT